ACGGCTCAACTTCTCGGTGCCTGTTCTCCCACAAAAGCAGTTATTTAACCATTAAATGGGGGGATATAGGAAAAGCCCCGAGACCAGTGGCTGGAAGCGCTTTGAAATACCAGAGATGGTTCTTACATTATCACGTCCGAGTTGGGGTCCCTGGGTTAAGTTTTCATAGAGCTAATGAACCTTTTCTTCTGAAGCTGCCTTCTGACATGTACATGTGGCTTTGAAATTCAAAACCAAGAGAAATAAAGTTATGTAGAGGGAGGTGCTTTGAAATGCAAACCCAAGAGAAATCATCATAGGGAGGGCTCGATGAAGAACTAATCTTTTTTCTCACCCTGACTTGAAAGCAACTGCCTGTCTCTGGCTCCCTCTTTACTCTGGACGGCGGGCGCCTGGCCGAGCGCAGCTCAGGGCCCGAGAGCAGAGGCCCCTGGCTCACTGGGCAGAACCAGGAGTCACTCGAGGAGCCTCGGTGGGCTCAGGCAGGGCAGGATGGGGGACGTGCCCACTACGGCGACCTGTGCTGTCACGAAATCACGTATGTCAAGTCAGCTTTGAGCGGAAGCCACAACTTTTGATCAGATTCAAATTTAGATTCAACAGAATGTCTTTCAGTAACAACCATGACGGTGCCGACGTTTACGAAGCACTGACTAGCGCAGGCAGCATCCTCGGGATTGTCTGCTGGCTTCGCGAGAGTCCTTTGTGGCTGGACCGATCATTACCACCCTTTTACAGAAAGGAGAAGTGGGCTCAGAGAGGTGGCGTAACTTGCCCAAGGTTACAGAGCTAGTAAGTGAGGAAGCCAGGATGCAAGGATCTTCTTCCGTTAACAAATCTTTCCTGAGCAGCTACTTCACGCCAGGCGCTGTGGTACACACTGCAAATGCAGCAGCGAACAGCGTCCCTGGGTGACTTCCCATCCTAGGAGACACGTTCAGTAAACCAATGGAACAGACCGAAACAGAATATATGGGAGAGTTAAGTGAGAACAGTAGCGCTCAGTGAGGAACTGAAGAGGGACAATGCACTTATTTCAGAGTGGATGGTCAGGGAAGGCTTCTTGGAGGTGTCACCTGAGCAAGTGGCTCTGGGCCGGAGCCAGGGCCCATCCCTCCCTTCCACTGCCTGTGATGAAACCACAGAGAAACTTCGCAACCAGGCCGGCGCTGGCCTGCACCGCACCCTCTCTCTCATGGAAGGCAAGGGGCCTTCGGGAAACGCCGAACTTGGAATCCCATTCTGCGATCATGGCAGCACCCTGGCCTGAAGCCACGGGCTATGCTACACCACTTTCCAACAGCAGAACCCGTCTTCGGGCGATGGCATCGGCATGAGGCCTTTGGGGGACACAGCGAGGTACGAGGTTTCACAATGCCTGTAAGACCAGGGCTCGAGAATCAGCGGTTGGGCTCTCCCCGAGCTGCGGGGCCCAACGCAAGTGAGGCCGCCTCCCAGGCTCGATTCATCTGTACACGCTGAGAACGCCACCTCCCTCCGGCGGTGGGACAGCTTCAGACAAGTCACGTCACGCACAGACCTCAGAACAGTGGCTCAGGGTGACCAGCTATGCCCCGGGACCTCTCAAGTCCCAGGACACAGGACAGAGCACACAGATGTGCAGCCTGACACCTCCGTGACCCGGCCTGACCACTAAAGATGTTTTCTGAATGGACGGCTGGAGAATGTGTCACGAATCCGGTAACAGCTTGGCAGTAGGAGCCATCTGAAACCATTCCCGACCTCAAGCTGGGCTGGCAAGGATCGGATGTGATTTTAAAATGCGAGTGAGAAGAGACTGTTACTGGGGAAAAAATTGAATCCATGTGAGTTTTAAATAACTTCATTCCAACAAGAATATTAAAACAGTATCGTTTGGGCAATTAGCAAACACTAAAACAAATGCAGTGATTTAAGATTGAAATTCTATTTTTAAGGTTAAAAAAGAAAAATGCCACCACTGTATCCTGAGGCCTAAATCCCATTATTAACTTACCTGTGCAACAAATCCCAGGTTTTTATTTATTTTTTTAATGATTCCTACTGAAAATTCACATTCCGATTTCATGCTAACACTCAGCAGCTACCTAAGCAGCGCTCCAGACTGTGCAGTAGGTACATTATCTGAACACTATGGGAACGTCCTCATATATGCTCCGACTCAGACTAAACCTCCACCTTAAAACCCCGCTGTAGCTTCCCGCCCGTGTGAAATGACAGCCACCTTCTCATGCCCACTGGGTAGCCCAGGTAGCACCCATCAGGGAACGTTCAAACTGCGGGTTGGCTCGCTTCCTGCTGCGGCCTGGCAGCTGGACAAGGGAAGCCCAGTCAGGCACTCACTTCCCCCATAAAATCTTTGTTCTCTGGGACAGCCATCTGAATTTTGGGTCACTTTCTGTAACAGCCCGTTGGAAATGCAAGGGCAAGTGAGGCGGAAAACAGAAGCACGTACAAGTCCCGTGGCCCCAGTAGTTCGGCAAGTTAACTCCAGTAAAAGTATTTTCAAACCCTCTTTCATGGCTCACAACAGAACTCCAAGTAGTTTAATGCGGTCATTCCAACTCTTAATCTAGAAAGTAAATAAAACCTACGCACACCCTCCTGGCTGTCACCCTACACTTTAATCACTTACTACTGGCAGAAATGTAACCCTTGTTTTGCACATGACGGACTACTGCTATGGTGGAAAGGCAAGCCCCGATCACTGCCTTTTGGGGCTACTGCCCATCAAGTCAAAGTTCTCAAGTGACATCTACGGCCACTTCCCATGTCACCCAGGCCCCCCTTAAGAACCACTTTCAAATGCACAGGATATTATTGGAATGAGCTTGATTTCCCTTCAACAGATTTTTGCTGACTAGTCAGATCGATCTAGAAAGTCAGCTGGACTTGAACGGCCTGTGACGGGGACAGGAGCACATGCTACAGTCAAGAGTGAAACAAGACACGGGTGTGGAGGAGCCGCTCCTGCTGACCGACAGTCCTGCCGTGGTAGGAAGACTCCCTTGCCCACCGAGGACTCTACTTGGTCATGAACGCAGGGGAGGCCTTTAAAGAGGCTTTACACTTACAGGAAATGAAGCTTTAAAAAAAAACAAACAAAAAAACCTATTAAAATGACAAGATGGTGCAGGTTAGAGGTGGTTCAAGTCCCAGCTTGCCACTCGAGTTGTGTGACCTTTCAACTCGCCCAAGTCTGTTTCCCGGGTGTAAGCGACACCAACCTCATGGTGTTCTTGACAAGAGGCAACTTTGGAAAATGCTGAGCGCGGTACCTCGCACAGCGAGCGAGAGCTGTGCCAGGTTCCCTGGAGCTTGTCACCACCTGCAGAGGAGGAACTCGAGTGAGCCGCTGTGGCTGGAGGCGGGAGGGCTGGGCGTTCCCCAAACAGCAGACGGGACACAGAGCCTGAACTGATCAATTCTTGAGCAATCTTACATTTTTCCTCTACACCGCACACCCACTGAAATCTCAAGTTGTGCTTCAAAATTTTTTTGGGGGGGACCCTTATGTTCTTAGTCTAGGAATGTTAACAGTAACATGGAACTCATCATGCCCGCCAATTTGGACCTCGTTCCCCTTTTCAAAAAACCCCTGAGCACTGTGCACTGAAGGCCCTGCACCTTGTAGGCAGACTGCCAGGAAAAGGGTGGGCCTCGAAGCAAACACACTGAGGGAACGTGCGCCGTGGCCAGTGGTCTGTTCACTAGAGACAGAGCACCCCTCCCTCCCAGGAAGTGCACGTTTCCATAGCCCAGGGCTCGGGGCTGCTTTCAGAAACCTCCTTCCTCCCCTCCCCGCCAAGGTACCCCATAGCCTTCAGAAAACCATGAACAATGAGGGGACCTACTTTGCAGGGTGGCTGTAAGGATTAAATGTGAGACTCAAGTCACAGTGCAGAAACTTGAGCAATTACAGGCTATAGACATTTTTTTTTCCCCACATAAATTTGGAAATTCTTTGGTGTCCAATAAAATTTCCTGTGAAATTTAAACTACGGACAACACAGGCCCGCCCCCAACTAGCCTAGTTTCAGAGGTCAGCTGTGAGGCTTTGGAGCTGCTCGCCTGACCTCTCTGGGTTCTGTGGAACCAGAGCTGGAGGGCAGGGTGTGGCTCTCGTCCTGTGCCAGCCAGTGCCCGGTGTCCAGCGATGGTGCCACCACCACCAGGGCAGCTCAGCTCTCCCAGGTCCCCCATCCCTCGAAATGGCATGTCCACCTCTGACACCTGAGTGCCCATCAGTAGCGCTTGACCAGGAACTTCCAAGATCAGGCCCTGAAGCAACAGCAGCGGCGTCGGTGCGGCCTGGGAGGGAAGAGGTCAGCGCCGCGGGGCCCCTAACACGGCAGAAATGGCAAACCTTTTCCTTCGACTGTCAGCCTGGTCTTTGCAGCACTTGAAATGTGGCCTATATCTCCAAGGTGACCCTGTCCTCACCCACCTGGACTCTCATCCAATTTCAAAGTAAATTGCCCTTTATGAATTTTTTTATGGATATAAGTCAATCTATTCAAAGTGAGGTTTGCTATCAAGTCAAAATCCACATAAACAGAATGTCAAGTGCATTAAATGAACTATCATTTCATTAGTCACTTTGACACCTAGACACCCACACTCAAATACTAAGCGAGAAGCATCCCCTTGACCAACTGCCTTGGAGGACGTGGAACTAAGCAGCAGGTTTAGGACGTGAAGTACAAAACAGGAAAAAAAGGCCACCACGCAAATCTAAGTCCTGTGAGGGTCGAGATTTCATCCACGTGAGCACCTAGGACACAGCCTGGTACACAGCAGGTGCTCGGTAAAGTGCGACTCTAGAAAACATCCTGGCGGAAGTACTTATAACCACCAAAAGAGCCATCCTAGAAGTTTGTAATCAGACACATCGTGACAGATGCTTGAAAACAGCAGCAAGAACGGAAGGCTTTCATTATTAGATTAAAATTTTTTTTTAAATGTTTAACTCCATACAGAATAAGAGCATGAACCGCATGGGGCAGCGCACTGCTGGCGAGATGGGAGAAGTGACTTCTTGGGGACTCCTCCACTGAGTCAAGGCCTGAGTCTGCCACTTCAGGCTCTGCTGCAAGACCCAGTCACAAGACAGACCCGGCCCTGCTCCTCCGTCCCTCGAAAGTCTGTCAGCCTCCGTACCCAGTAAAAAGACCTTCTAGAAGGGAAACGCAGAGACCATCTAGCCGTTCCCCACTTTGCACAGACTGCGAACTAAAACCCAGAAGTGATCTGCCCGAGGCCGACTGTCAGAGCCTGCTGGCGGGCAGCCCGATGAGACAGATGAAGAGCAGACGGCCAGATGGAGTCACTCCGTCCCGGAGCAGTGTCCTTGCATCACACAACATGCGGCCAACAGGGAGCCATGCACATCCAAACCTCGGTTTTAGAGGGCAGCTAGAACAACGAACACTGGAAGCCATTGCGTAACTCCTCTAACCTCTCACCTCCTCCCCTTCCGGTCTCGACCACAGGAGTATCATAAACCAGAAATGAGGCGCTTGACTAGGAGATGCTGACCATCCCTTCAGCTTTCCCGTCTACCCTAAGAAATGACACGTACCGATGTAAGGTATGAGAACCACAGTGCTATCGCGTGGGACTTTACGACTGCCGACATTCAACCATTTTTAATCTCAAGAAAAATGGCAACCCCATAGAAACTTAATACAGATGTTCCAACTTCTCTGCTTCATTCCTTGGGGATCCTTAACAATAAAAATTCCCAAACCAGAGTAAAGTGTTAGTAAGCAAAGAGGAAGTGGAGACCCCCACATGTGAAATGCTTTATTTCACTCCTGAGTCCTGCTCAGCACCCCTGACTTTGTGGCAACCCCCTCAATGGTAGCCAAGCAGTAAGAAACACAGACCCTCAGTAATGCCAACAGGAAGGCGTGAAGAGGTCGCAGGGGCAGACAGCGCTTCCTGCTTCCTGCATGCCTCTTCCTCGTGTACCTTCACTGCTCCCGGCCATGTACAAAATGCAGTCCTTTCACAAGCTTTCAGAAAGTTTTTATTGGTTACAATGATATAAAATGTATCATTTAAAGTTCCCTAGTTATTAAGTGCTTGCTAACAACAGCATAAAAAAACGTTTGTACACATGACAAGCTCAAATGATTCGTTCCATCCTGGAAGGGGATAAACAGCAAACAAACAGCTCTTGACTTGTCTATCTACAATCAACCTCCTTCCCTCTTACAAAGCCATCGGTTCAAATCAACAGACAATCCCTTTTGTATGTCAAATGTAAATTTTAATGTTTTCATTAGAATAGTCTTTTATATCATAACTCTCCAACAAGAAACAATAAAATAACTAACAGCAAACTCCAGTACAAGAACACTCTCCAGATTAACAACTCAAACACAAATGTAAAATGTAAATCACATATAATACAATTGAAGTGTCCAAAACAATTTAAATAATTTTAAATATTTTATTTTCAAACTGCTACAAATGCTTTATACAATATTTCAACACAAAGTCCCCAGAACAGAAATGTAACAAAATGGGAATGATAGTGAAAGGGTTAAAGTGGCACAAATTCACCAAACAAGTATTAAACTACAAATTTTAAGAGGTAGATTATTTTTAAAGTTTAGAACAAAAACAAAAACGATGAATAACCTAGCCATTTCCCACCAACTCAGTCATTAATTAGGGTGAAAACATATATAATGTATGGAGAAACGATATACTCAGGAAGAGGCCAATTTGTAGTTTCTAAATCTCTATTAGAGACTGAAGTGTAAAACCTGTTACAAAAATTCTTTTACTTATGTGCAGACACACCTTTATAGGCTGTGATGCGTCCTGGGCATCGGTATATTGCTACATAGTCTCCAATAACAGTAATAGGTATAAATTAGTGCCACGTAATTATTTGAGAGGATGTCCATCTGGATATATACACATAAAACTGGAAGAGGCATAAAAAAGGAGTCCATATCCAATCTGGTTTCCTCTCCATTGTGCTGGCAATCTGCTTGTGATAATAATAATAATATAAAAAAAAGCAGGCTAGGAGAGAGGCTAAATGCGTCTCTCTGCCTATAATTAACTTAAAAAAAAAGGCATCAAGAGCTGGTGTGTGACCAAAACATCTCAAAATGAGTGCATTAGAATTTGTCATCCCTGAAATCTACAACAAACTATCGATAAAACTGAGAACTTGCTTTGCAAGGTTAAGTTCAAGTCATTCCTTCCTCTGCTATGTGCCAAAAACCAGGGCCACACTCACATCTGAGTTGTCAGTCCCGTGACGACGAGCCAGTTTCTCTGGCCCGTCTTACAGCACCCTCTTGCATCTCAATCACCTGGGTGCCCAGCACGTGTTGGGCACCAGCGAAGAAGCAGATGCCTGACTCTAACCAGGGCAACAAGAAGCCTGCCGGCAATCAGTTGAGTGTTAGGATTTTTGTCAGCTTCAACTGGTCTTGCAAGCTTGGTAGATTTCGTGTCCTTTGTCGTAGTGCTTATCCTAAGTTGAGCATGCATTATCTTTATTTAGTCAATTAAGGTTTGGTTTGTGTGGGGGGCTTTTCTACAGGAAGTTCCTAGAAAATAAGAAAACTGAAGATAAATGACAACGTAACACAACCTTGTATGAATTGACTGTGTTAAGAGAAGGTGAGCAGACCATATGACAAATGATAAGACGGCCACAGAATGACTCTGGAGGTGTGCAGGGCCTGGGGTCCTACTCAAAAGGCATGCACTGGCAAGGCCCCAGCCCTACCTGGAGTGGTGTGGCAGAGAAGGATATGGGAGAAAATAAACATTTTCTTTTTTAATAATTCGTGGTGAAGGGGAACACTTGGGATTTCATTTTGCTTCTCCATCTTTAAATGTTTCTGATCAGCTGCAATGGAAAAACCGTGTTTTTTAAAAGTTGCTCTTCAAGGAGCATTAGAGAATGCATAAATAGCTTGGGATTTACAAAGACCAAAGACGGATAAGAGGAGAGTAAAAAATGTATCTCTTTCCTTGTCTTTTTGTCTTCTAGCCCATGAAAATGAGCCCTGAGCAAGAGCCCTAAACCCATTTCCCCAGGAAGCCACAGGAGACTCTGCTGCTCATGCGCAAGGTGAGCCCAGCACAGGGTGCACTGGACTCCAGGCTGCAACAGGAGGATCTATAAAGGTGGGTGGTAAGCCCAGTGTCCTTTGCTGCTTTATCCTAAGAATTTGGAATCCATGTCTTTTTTTACACCCTGACTGGTACCATGGTTTGTGCTCCTGGAAATGACCAAGTGGCAAATTCTGCTGAGCCCTCTGTATTAGGGAAATCTCCGACTTCATTCACATGCTGACTGCAAGTATGAACTTGAAAAACTGTGGAATCCTAAACTGGCCTCAAATGTCTAAGTGTGGGGGCTGACTCTTAATCACAGATGTTACAGTGAAACACGCAGGAAAAGGAGGTGCAGCCAGTGCTGTGGGAAGTCCTTGGATACACAACGGGATAACCAAAGCGAAATCACTGAAAACAGAGAAAAAGCGAGTATTTCTAACCATGTGCCATGAGATCATCTCTGAATAAAATTTACAAGTAGAAATATACTGAAAGGGAAGACAACTATAGTGAAAACAACTCCTTGACACAGAGTAACAGAACAGGAATGTACCAAGGACAAGGCCTGCTCTCTAAGCCCTCATAATACTCCCCAGGCCTGAGTTCAGGAATCCCTAGTTCTATACAAAATGGCTACAAGGTACTAAAAAGACCACTACAAACTCCCTGAAGGAATGTCCCCTCTTATGTCCAGGTAATCAGAATATGATGTCCTGGTACTTCACAAATTGGTGGTCACTTATAAATGAACTCGTGTGAAGACACACGTCCTTCTGATGTGTCTACAGCACATCCCAGTGACACACACAAACAGGGGGACAGCTACCGTGCATGCTTGCTGCTGCCATCTACCAGTTAGAACACTGCTTTCTCATCTGATTCTCTGTGCTTCCTTTAGGCCAATTTTCACTCCAGCAATGTAAACCTCTGTTAACTATGAAACAAAGTAAAATAATTAAAATTAAGTGGAGGACATAGAGACATAATCTTATTAGGCACATTGGTCTCCTGTGGTCTTAAGGGTTCTTCTTCAAAAAGCTCTGGATGAGTAAGAGGCTAACTGAATGAACCACATACACTTATAGTTACTTAAAGAACTTTTCTTTATAGAATTTCAATTTTTCCTACCAACTTTACCCTTGAACTATATAACTGGGATTCAGGACAAAATGATTCTTTCAGACAATATTGGAGACCAAAGGGGATACATACACACAGTACATGCTAAAGCATCAACCACCTGGGAGATGTTTCGAGTACAGTCTGTAAAAATGATGGCAGAATCTGGCTCTTTAACCTTGAAAAGAACTAGCGTTAAGCACGTCCTGTGGTTGTGGCACCTCCAGAACAAAGAGTACAAACAGGGCAGTTCAAGTGCTATAGGCAGGCTGCTCTAACAGCTAATAGACATGTGCTTATGCACAGGCCATGGCCACAGACCAGACGCTGAGTAAGATCTCTGATAACCAATTATTTAGTACATTTCTGAAGTAGCTTTTATAAAATCTGATCCTTTATTCCAACAGTAAATCATTCCCATCAGCCTCGGCTAACGATTCTTCCCTACATCTTTCGTTAGCCATGACTTCGGGCACACCAGCACCCAGAACTCTACCTCATCAGCTGTGCATTGATAACAGCACCTTGGGTCCTCATGACCTCCCCAGAATGGCAGTCCACTCCCCAGTTAACTCTAATTCTGCTTGCCTGCTGCCCCACCAAAGACTTTTCAGTCACTAAAAGGTACAGCCCAGGAAGCCTTGAGTCAACTCACTCTGAAAGAACATGATTCTGAAGTATTCTGCAGAAATTCTATCTGATGAATATTTCACAAGCATGATCTGTAGGCATTTTTCAGGAAAACAGCAGGAATTCCAAGAAAGCCCATCAACCGCGGTTATTTAAGTAACTTAGAAAGTTTGAGGAGTCGCTGTAACAAATTTAACTACTGCCCTATGTTTTTATGTTGCTAAGAACACTTCTGAATACAGGGAGGACATAAACACAACAGTAAAACCACCTCTAAGCAAGGATGAATTCTCCTATCGTCACTGGGAAGCAAAGGCACCGACAAGCCCAGCTGCCTTGCCCTGGCTTTCAGCATGTGCCTGAAGGAGCCACAGGGGTCTGGCCTTGCTGAGGGTTCTGAGCACTATCCTAGCTGCTTCTCCTTCGTTATCTGCCCTGTTTATCACCCCATGTGGGAGGTAGGAGGGAGTGGGAAACTTAAGGCATTTAAAAATGAATATAGTGTATTTTGTTTTAACCAATGAGGCAAGTTTTTAAAATGAAAACAACAGAAGCATGGATAATAGAAACATTCTCCGTTACTCTAACTACGTTTAAGTCACAGAAATATTAAATGAGATTGCAATATGGTTTTAATGACCTCAGCGATCCATGTTAACAGAAGAAACGATCTATGATCCAGAAATATTAAAAGTGACACTGAGCTTTTACCCAAGATAGGAAGGAAGTTTAAGAGAATTTCATAACAGGGTACTTTTGAGAGCTTTGCATAGTTTCAAATTCAATTCACAACCAAACCTAAAAGAAATGGCACACTTTGTGAGTCCTAGGTCTGAGATAAAAGCTAGGTGGTATCCATCTCTGCAGCAATCAGAGCAGTGACCCTTCTTCGCATGCCTACAACGTAAGCAACAGCCATTTCCTTTAAGTGCTTATGTCAAAATTATACAAGAAAAAGAAGAAAAAAAACCATTGGGCAAGTATATTGTTTTCTTCCAACCGTCTTTCCCACCCCCACACCTTGAGCTCAAGTTTCTCGGCCCTGGGACAGGCTTACCTGAAGTCCTTCAGCTCCTGCTTGCCACCGCTGTCCTCCCTCCTGCCTTCGCCCAGGTCGGCAGCAGCCGCCAGCTGGAGGCTTCGGGTGATTGGCCCTCCACTCCGCTCTCTAGATTTTACATTGAACCGGTCTGTTCTTTTCTTACTGGCCAGAGTGGATTTGCTTTGTAAGACGGCTTTGCTTTTCTGTACCCTCACATGCAGGCTCCGGGCCGTCTTGCTTGAAAGCTGAGCAGAATGATTCTTGGCCACAGCTTTGGGTTTTTTCCCCTCGACGTGAGTTATTTTGGCCATTCTTATTGGGCTCGAGTTCCTTAAAGAGGAGCTTGGCTTTTTGGACTTCCCTGAAGCTGCAAATTTGACATTCTGCTTGGACCTGAAGGAGGAAGAGGGCAGTGGGACCTGTGCGGGGCCTGAGCTTCGAGCTCTGGTCTTGCCCAAAGGAGCCTGCGTGCTTTGCATTTTAATCTCTGAATCCGCTGTCCGTCTGCGGTGGCTGCTGCTACTGTTTCTGTCACTACTTGCAGGTGATGCGTGCCCACCTTTCTTGGACGAATGGGCAACTTTTCTTTTGGGAGGAGAAAGCGGTTTTTTGGGACAGCTGAAAGCAGCATGCTTATTCAGGCTGCCGATGTACGTGAACTCCCGATGGCAGTACGGGCAGATGTGCGAGGACGACTCCGAGGCGTTTCTTAAGTCGGCCTTCTGCTTGGCAGATTTGTTTTTTTGCAGGATTGCCTTCTGGACAAGCTGGTTTTTTTTCTTCAATGCATTTATTTTGAGCTTATTTGGTGACATTTTGCTGAGCTCGACACTAAAGTTCAGTCTTTTGGGTTGCCCCATTCGTCTGAAGGCATTTTTCCCAGAGTTATCCAAAACCACCACGCCGTTTCTGGGTTGCACAGTTTGTTTCAGCGGTACCGGGTTTTTCTTAGGGGTGTACCTCTTCTTGTCACTAGCAGAAGCACATGCCAGGATATGCTTGTGTAACTCAGGCATGTTGTCTACACCTTTACCACACTTTGTACAGCGAATGGCAGTGCTAAAAGTCTGTGGAATGTTGTGTGTAGTGAAGTTGGTGGCCGTCACACCGATACCCATGGGGTTTCGGTGGTGGTACTGAAATGGAGGCGGTTTAAAGCTTGGGTAATGTTGATTGAGACCCAATCGAACATCTGGGTCTTTCGTCTTTATTCCAGAAGCCATAATTTTTATGGTCGTATACAGCTCCTCAGAGGAATCATTTAACTCCTCCTCCTCTTCTTTCGACGCTTCCAAAGGATCTTCTGGCAAACTTTGCATATGCTCTGCGTGGGCCTTGCTGGGATCTGTGAAGTTCTGCGGCCTCAGGGTGCCACTTTCAAACTCGTGGTGTGTGCACACCTTATCCGGGTGGAGATCTCGCTGGTGCTGCTGTAAATTGCACAAAAAAGCAAATTCCTTTTTACAAACGGAACACACAAAGATATTCCCCACTCCATGCAGCAAAAAGCGATGTTCCGACAAATCAGTTTTGGCTTTAAAAAGCTGCACACAGAATTCACATTTGAAGGGCCATTCTTCAGCATGAATAGATAAATGTTTGGTTAGATCTTTAATGGAAAGAAAAGGTGATTCACAGACATTGCAGACAAAGTTTTTGTTGAATGTCTCCTGAACAATATCCTGTTCAACAGAAGGCTGTGGTTCTTCCCTGGGTTTCAGATCTTCATTCTCTAGTTCCTCCTGCTTGAAAGATATCATGGGGAGAGAGGCTTCCAGATTGTCCCCAGAGGAAACAACAGAGGATACTGCTGAGAGAGGAGGCGGTGAAGGGGAAGAGGAGGAAGACGAAGAGAAAGAAGAGGAGGATGAGGAAGAAGATGAGGAAAGCGTCGGAGGCCCCGGCGAAGCAGCAGACATGAGCGGCTCCACGGAAGGAATGGGCGATGGCGAGGGAGACACTGTCGGAGAAAGGATGGGAAGTGGGGACTGTGCAGCAGCATTCGAGAGTGGGGAGGGACACGGGTGAGGAGATGCCCCAGAAGAGGGAGCTGGAAGAGGTATGGTTGGAAGAAGTGGAGGAGGCGGAGTGGCAACAGTTAACACAGGAGGACAGGGTGGAGGGGACGAGGGATGTGTTGGCATCAAGAGAGGAGGCAGCTGCCCAGAAGAAAGAGAGGGTGTCTGGAGGACAGGGGATGAAGGAGAAACATCAGGTGGGGACTCCACAGCAGGGGCAGATAAACCCGAGTCAGGATCTGCTTGGGGATCTAGGGATTTACAAGGACTCGGGCTCCTGGTCACATCTGCCGTGTTTTCGATGGGTGCACTGACGCCATTGTATTCATTGAGAAGGACCTTCTGCAGCATGCAGGTGGTCGGTTTCTTTTTCTTGATAGCACTGCAGGCCGGCTGAGCCATGCTATTGTCTTTGAATTCCTTGCCTTCCGAGTCACTACACGGCTTTTTATGCACACTGAGATCTAACACCGATTCCCACTGGACCGGGGTCTTGCCTGTACCCTCAGCCTTCTGTTTGACACCGCTGGACAGATCCAATGGCTGCTGGCTGCACACACTGCTGAAAGCGGAGCTGGCAGCCCACTCTTTAGGTGCCTTGTATTCATCAAAGCAAGGCGGGCTCACGGCTTCTCGCTCGTCTCTCCCAGACAAGCTCCACGCCGGGGAGCTGCTATGACTTTCTAATTTGGGCTTTTTGGAACTTAGAACTGCATCAGTCCACATGGCTTTACCATCACTTTGCTTTCCAAAGTCTCGAAGGGCAGGACTGTGCTGCGGAGAGCTGGGAGGGGAGCTAGTCCGCCGCTTAAACCTACTCGAGGTCACGGGCAACATCGACGCAGGAGCGGACACGCAGACAGGACCAAGCTTAGGGATCTCAGGTGCCGAAATCCCCGCGGGGGGAGTCAGTTTATCCTGGGTCTGAAGGAGCTGCTTGAGCTTTGAGGACAAGTACAGGCTGCCTTTCTCTTTGTGGAAGGACATTGCCTCTGCAGTGGATATGCTGAGAGGCAGGCTTAAGGAACACGAGGGTGCTGTGGGCTCAGACTCTGCTTCAGCTTTAATTTTGGGTAACACAGGAGGACTAGCAGTTCTCCGTTTCTTGGACTCACTGGTTGTGCTGCTGGAAGGCTCCTTAGGAAGGTCATCTGTGATGGGGACCGGTGTGGTCTTTATATTCTGAGTAATTTCCACTGTAACTGGAGTAAGCAGACAGTTTATACCATACAAGTCCGCCGAACTAGATTCCATCTCAATCACATCACAGTTACTGGTGCTGCTGCTGGTTTGAATTTTACCATCAATATAGTAATTTAAGTTTTCAGAGATATTGCTAGAGATGTCCATGATGTACACATCATCTGCCTCCCCTTCCTCCTCTGGTTCCGTGCTGGGTACGTAGACATTCTGGGCCGGGCGGGCCTGCTCTGCTGCTGGCTGGGGCTCTTCCAAGAGGCCGCCTTTTCTCCGCACACCTTTGGGAATCAGATGACGTTCATGAACCCTACGCTGATGCCGTCTCATGTTAGTATGAGTTCCAAAGACCTTTTTACAATATTTGCATGGATGAAGCTCTTTAACTTCTCCGTTCTCTTCTACAACAGAAGAATTTACTGTTTCTTGGGAAGCTTTCTCTGAACTCAAGATCAGACAGTCCTGCCCAAGAGTGGAAGGATTCGAGTCATCTTTTGGAGTGCCACTGTCTCCAGATGCTTTGCCATCAGCCAGGTCCTCCGATGGCTGTAGTGTTAGGCTGGGTTTCCGCTTCAACCCCGCCTCGTGGCGGCGCTCGTGCCTGCGCCTGTTGATCTGCGTGCCGAAGGGTTTCTCACAGTACTTGCATTTGAAAGCGTGGTTGACTGTAGACATGTGGATATGCATGTGACGCTCAAGCCCCTGCTTGGTTGTAAACTTCCTTTCACAATGCTGACATGGGAACATTAATGTTTCGAATACATCACCGTTGGCCTCTTCCTTAGTTTTGGGAATTTTGGTAACAGGTGTTACCTCTGGAGAGTCTTCGAGAGCGTCTTTTGAAATATTTTTTGGTTCTTCTAATAAATCTTCTAGCTTCTCATCACACCGTATTTCTGGCTCTTTCACAGAACTTTCATTTGGCATGTCAGCTTCTTCTTCCCCCTCTTCTTCCAACTCATCATCTTCATCCTCCTCCTCCTCCTCTTCCTCCTCCTCCTCCTCCAGGTCATTCACCTCACAACGTGCTGCTTCTAGCTTGTCGCCGGGCTCTGTCTGTGGCTCGCCGGCAGGGGGAGGGGCCACCAGCCCTGGAAGCACATCCTGACTAAGCACCTCCTGAAGAACAGCTGTCTGCTCGACTGCCGAGGCTGAAGGCTTCTCGGCCTCTTCTCTGGCACCTAGAAAGCACAGGGAAGTAGAAGCATGGAGGTGAGGGCTAAACTGGCCGCTTCAAGATCAATTCTTATTACTCAAGTTATTTCTTAGCACCTAAAATGTACAAGGGAGGTTATAATTAACAGTAAGCAGCTCCACATTCTCATTTATAAAGTTGTACTGGATTTGAATCCATTTCTTTCTTTCTCTCTTTCTTTTTCATTCATTCAGCTAATATTTACAGAGCTCTTGCTACTAATCAGGCAATACACTGGGCAGTGAGGAGACATACATGAACAAAGAGTCCCATGGAGATGACACTCTTCTGTGTGTAAGCACACATACATAAATATATTTTTATTTACAGACACTATAGTGCTTGAAACTGACTTGCAGTAGTGGATACTGAATTTCAGGAGACTAACTGTGCATTCCAATTTCTTATGGAATAAGAAAACTTAAATATATTACCAGGTTAGACTCTTAGTAGTCTGCTTGAAGGGAATGATTCTTTCCCTCCTTCCTGACTAAATCTACATATTTTGAAGACAGAACATTTTCCAGAATCATGTGGATCAGAATTTTTTCAAGTAACAAAAACCTTAGCGATCACCTCTTCCAAGCCTGATCAAATTATTGACAGCTCAGAAGTCCGATGCACAGAAGCAGCCAGGTGGCCAGGGAAGGACTCACCAGCAGGGCATAGTGGAGCAGAGGACTAAAGAAAGTGAGCCATGCCAGTACCCAGCTGGGAGAGGGAAGCTCTCTGGAGAGAGCAAGTAGCAGATACTAAGTTCTGAGTCAAGAACTTGTTAGATGTGTTTAAGGAATAGCAAGAAATCTGGAAAGGCCCTGGGTGGGGGAGGACTGGAGGGAGGCAAGAGAACAGGAGATGAGATCAGAGCGACAACTAAACAGAACCTGGGAGACTGCTGGCCTTCACTCTGAGTGAAACAGGGAACTACCAGAAAGTTCTAACAGAAACATGATACAACTCACTTATATTCAAGAGAATCATTCTAGCCCTGGCCGGTTTGGCTCAGCGGTTAGAGCGTTGGCCCACAGACCAAAGTCTCGAGTTTGATTCCTGGTCAAAGGAATCAATGTACCTGAGTTGCAGGTTCAATCCCTGGCCCTAGTCTGGGTAGGGCAGGAAGCAACCAATCGATGTGTCTCTCTCATATCAACGTTTCTCTCTCCCTCCCTTCGACTCTTATCTAAAAATCAATGGAAAAATATCTTTGGGTCAGGATTAATGAGAGAAAGAGAGAGAGGGTGTATCATTCCAGTTGCTACAAGGAAGACAGAAAATTCTAGGTGGATAAGGGTGGAGGCAGGGAGAGGAGAGAGCTACATCCTCCAGGAGAAGGGGCAAGGGGCAGGGTACAGAGACTAGGGTGGCATGGAGGTGGTGGGAATGCTCAGACTGTGATATATTTTGGAGATGAGCTCACAAGATGTGCCTGCTGGCTGGAGGTGGTGGGAGAGATGTTGAGAAGGACCCTATGGCAACATAATAATCCTGCTTACTAGGCAGAAGACAGGGAAGCGCAGGTTTGGGCGGTGTGTGTGTGTGTTGGAGGAAAATTAAGTTTACTTTGATGTCCTAAACTTTGAGGTATCCGACAGATATCCACATAAAGATTTTAAGCAGTTAACCAAGTTCAACCAAGAGGCTGAGCCTAGAAATGTATAAGTCCTCAGACTCAAAACAGTATTTGGAGCATGGGACTGGACAAGGTCACTGGAAAGTGAATGCAGACAGAAGAGAGATGGGAAGACTGTCCCCCAGATGACTCCAGTACTTAGAGGTCGGAGGAATGACCAGTGAGGAATCTAGAGAGTGGTGACCCTTAGACAACATAAACAACGTTACCGGGAGGCAGCGATTAGCAGTGTGGAGAACTGCTAATGGGCTAGGTAAGATGAAGACTGGGCAAATGAAGCATTCCATTTACCCAGGTGGGGGTGTGACATGACAAAAGCTTTAGTGGAGGAGTGGGGACAAATGCCTAATGAAGTTCCTAAGAGAATGGAAGAAGGAAGAAGAGACGGGGAGACTATAAGCAGCTCTTTCAAGTTTAGCTATAAAGAAAAGCAGAGAGCCCTGGCCAGTTTGGCTCAGCGGTTAGAGCATCAACCTGCGGTCCTGAGAGACCTGGGTTCAGTTCCCGCTAAGGGCGCATGCCTCGGTTGCAGTTTGTCCCCAGCCCTGGTCGGTTGTGCGGGTGGCAGCCACTCGATGTGTTCCTTTCACGTCGATGTTTCTCTCTCTCTCTCTCTCTCTGTTCCTCTCTCTCCCTCCCACTCTACCTGAACAAAAAATGGGAAAGTGTCCTCGGGTGAGGATTAAAAAAAAAAAAAAGCAGAGAAACTAGACAGTGGATAAAGAAAACACAGGGACAGCAGGGGACTCGAAGACAGGGGCTGTCCTAGTACATTTAATGCTGACAGAGAAGATGCTTTCTCTACAGGACCACCAGTGCCTCTGCTGAACTAAGCCCCCCATACTGCACACACTTTAGCTAGAAAGGCTGTATACAGGAGGCAGAGCTACCGGGACCTCTCGTGGCTCTGTTACTGACTCTTCCCCTGTTCACTGAGCAAATATTTACGATATGCCAGTACTAGGTGAACAAGATGGTCAAGATCCTAATCCTTATAGAGCTTCACTTTAACAGGAGCTACAATCAAGCAGGCAAACTACTGTAACAAATGTATGGTTACGCTTGTGCACGTGCTGCTACAGAAGCACAAAAGAGGAACATCCTATGTGGTTTAACTAATCAGAGAAGGCTTCTTAGATAGAGCACTGAGCAGGCTGAACCTGAAGGTCAAAGACAGAAAAGAAAAAGTTAACAGGAGGAATCAAACATGGAGCACACTATCAATTATTCTGGACCTACCTAGGGATAACGGGGATCCATTAAGGTATTTTAAAGCAGGAGAATGCCATTTGGGAGGTTTGGCTGCTATGTGGATTAAGGATCTGGGAAAAGGCACTACTGCAGGCAGACGACCAATACTGATGCAGTGATACTGGAAGGGGGAAGGTGGCTACCCACACTAAGAGATGGAGATAGAAGCAGTAAAGGCAGAGAAAAGTAGCCAGACTGTCAAGAAAAAACAGACCTGTCACATACCTGGTCACTGCCTGGATACAGGGGAGAGGATGAGGTTAAAAAGGCCAACTGTTCCAAGTTGCAAATGCAAAGTATTAATACAAACTCAGTTGTTCGCCCTAGCCACCCTGCTGTTTCCCAGGAATATGTCTTACTTTTACCCATCTGCTACTACACATACTAACAATGAAGCTTCTGCTTCTAAACAGAAACCAGCCTTCTCTCCCCTCGACAAATTTCGTAACTCCACGAGTTTTCCACAAACTGCGAAATCAGTCATTTGATGGTGGTAATGTATGTCAAATTAGGAGCTAACTCCCTTTCAAATACATGTTCAACACAGACCTGCCATGATGCTAAAAAAGTTGGAATGAGACAACAGAAAGTGAAAATAACATCTCTAAGGCACAGAAATTTCTTTATAGTTTATTTTTGGCCAAAATCAGTGGCTTCTTTTAATTAAAAAAAATTATTTTCTTTCTCTGTGATTGCTAAAGAACTTCAGATTTGAAACTATCCAAAGTAGTATGAACCGAACATGCCCAGCTCTGCTCAATGGTGAGGCCCAGCGCACAGTGTGTCCGCACACTCCATGATGGCGCTGAGTTTTAAACATAAAAGGAGGTGAACACGGGAAGAGTCTGGACTGTTTGCTCAGACCACTTTTTAAGGACATGCAAAACATTTAGGAGAGGTCGACAACTACACTGTATAGAACCAATCACACTTTAACCAGTTATTTCAGAAAAAGGTTAATATTTAAGTATCTTTTTCCATGGGGCCTAATGTTATATCAGGAAAAAAATAACTGTCTTGAATCTTTGAAGGAGAGAAGGAATTGTTAGATTTTCTTCTTAAATTCTGTCACAAACGGTAGTAAGGTTCTTAAGTATTTTTGTCGCTATTGTTCAAACAAATGTCTTCTTGGCAAATCTGCTATCAGCAGGTAGAACTTAATTTTATAAGGTTCCAGAAAATAAACTTGTCTATTCTTCATAAAATGCCATAGGAAATTACAATTCTTTATGAATATCACCACCACAAACAGTGCTAATAAAATAGCTTAAAAGGAATCAAAAATATTTTGTTGGTATTTTTTCCTCTACAAATGTTTCTTGAAAGAGGCAAAACTTACATTTTGAAATCTGCCTATGAACAAGTCTTGAGTAAGCTCTAGTCTTTGCATAAATTGGCCAAATAACAAATTAAGACAGCTCCCTTTCTAATGGCTACAGTCTCAATATGGTGGCTCAACAGAGCAATATGCCTTTCTGATTAACTTTTTTTTCCCTTTATTGATTTTAGAGAGAGGAAGGGAGAGGAAGAGATAGACACATCAATGAGAAAGAACATCGATTGGCCACCTCCTGCATGCCCCCCACTGGAAATCGGGCCCACAACCTGGGCGTGTCCCCTGACTGGGAATCAAACCAACGACCTCTGGGTGCATGGGTCGATGGCTCAACCACTGAGCCCACACCAGCTGGACCTGATTAACTTTTTTGTTTGTTGGTTGGTTAATCCTCACTGGAGGATCTTTTTCCACTGATTTTTAGATAGAGTGGAAGGAAGAGATGGAGGGAGAGAGAAACATCGATGCAAAAGACACATCAAGCCCTGGCTGGTTTTCTCAGTGGTTAGAGCATCATCCTGCGGTCCAGAGAGACCCGGGTTCAGTTTCCACTAAGAGTGCGTACCTCAGTTGCAGTTTGTCCCTGGCCCTGGTTGGTCATGCGGGTGGCAGCCAGTCGATGTATCCCTTTCACGTCGATGTCTGTCTCTCTCTCTCTCTCTCTCTCTCTCTCTCTCTCTCTCTCTCTCTCTCTCCCTCCCTCCCTCCCTCCCCCTCTTCCTCTCTCTCCCTCCCCCTCTATGTGAACAAAAAATGGAAAAAAATGTCCTTGGGTGAGGGTAAAAAAAAAAAAGACACATCGATTGGTTGGCTCCCGCACAACCCCGACCAGGGCCAGGGATTGAACTTGCAACCCAGGTAAGTGTCCTTGACTAGGAATCAAACCCGCAATCCTTTGGTCCAAGGGTCAATGCTCTAACAGGTGAGTCAAACCAGCCAGGGTTCTGATTAACTTTTATTAATCCATGCCTCCCTGAATTCTTACAGCATGGCGGGCCTAGAATATTAGTCCTCAGAAGAGACCATAAAAAAAAAGTTTAGTGGGAAGAAATACAATAGATAAGATAGAAATTTAAATTCTAACCAAAACAAAACACAAAAACCCACTTTTCATTCTGTACATTTTTCATCCTGATATATAAAATCAAGGGTGTTTGATATTTTAAGTAGTTTTTTAACGAAGCTGCAAAATGCACCTATTGTAACCCATAAGCACAGAGCGAGATACAATGTTTATAAGGTAAATACACTATATACCACCTCACAGATTGGTATGGACTAGCACTGCTCCTCACCCTGTCCCTGGCAGTCTGATTTTTGTCACCATAGATTTTTTTGATGGTTTTAAACTTTGTAAATTATTTATAAATGCAACCACATAGAAAGTTTCATTTTATTTTAAATGAGGTATAATTTCATTTTCAACAAGGAAGGTCTTTAATATGTTTTTGAACATATGGTGGGCTTGTAGGGGGCCTTCATGCTGTGTAATCCTCTCCAGTTCTTGAAATGGTTCTCAGACAGGCATGCCAAGGAGACACGACGTTATAGAAACTGGTGGTACACACCCAGATCACACACGTCCAATACCCCAGCCTACCTTCTGCGGAATCTCTCATTCTTGCAGAGGCGGAATCTGGCTCACTTGTCTTCAGCTGTATGTCTTCAGTTTTGTTTCCTCTGTTTTTATTTTCCTGGGGTTTTTTCTTCCCTGAAACACATTATTTACTTATTTATTGGTTCATTCATTCACTATTACCCTGAAATCTTGAAGGAGACAATTACTAATCCCATCACCACAGCAAGCTGTCTATGTCTAAGCAATTGTCAATTCCTAAAGAAAGGAAGAGATGACGAACACAAATACTTTTAAGTCATGTCAGAGAAAAAAAGAACCCATAAATCCTGTATTTATGAGAATCTTGGGCATTAGTTCCCTCGTAGCTCTAACAACTATCAAATCAAACTAATAGAAAATATGTTCTAGAAAAGTTAGCCATATTCAACTCACCGAAACATTAGATAACAGCACTAAGTTTTAATACCATACACACAGTAGCAACTGGCAGGCTGGTTATCTGTAAGAAGCACATTAGGAAAAACAGTATGGGATAACCTGGGGCCCATGCAGTCATGACAGGAGTATCTGCAACTGTCCAAGGAAACCAGCAGAAGCAGAGCCACTGCGGAACTGCAAGGGACACACATGCACAATGGCTCCAACACGAAATGCAGACTGATGTGAATAATTCCCTGACGGCCAGCACGGCACTCAGAGGGTCCTGTGGAACTCGACTCGCAGTCCGAAACAATTCAGAGGCTGGAACTCAGGAAACATGAACTGAGTTCCAAGTGATAGCACAGTTCAGAAGATAAGATGGAAATGCAGTACATTTCTGACAAGCTGGAACAGTGGACTCACGTCACCGCGGTGCTCAGGAAGGGTAAACACCTCCCAACAGACGCTAACGCTGCTGGAGCGCAGAAGGTCAGTCTCTGTAGGATTTAACCCAAATTCGAAACCCATTTTTAAATTCTTAGTTTCTTATGCCTGGTAGCTTTTACTGCTCCATTTTCAGGTTCAGAACAGGTCCTATCACCTTCCCCAATTCCCTTCTCTCTGCAAGGCTCTCTCCACCAGGCTTCATACAGCACCGCACCAGCCTGTCTCATTCCAACAAGCAGCCACCTTCTCTCTGAATTAGTAAGAAGATATGCCAAAGCCACCGGCCGCTTCTGGAAAGTGGTCTGCTCCACAACAGCGAATCACTACAGAGCAGCGTCACTAACTAATGTAGGTTACGGGATGGAAATTAGGATCAGAGACACAAAATATCATCATTGCAAAGATCATAATGATTAAAAATAACACCACCAATTACAATACAAAACAAGTATTAGTCCTAAATCCACCACCAGATTTTTGAGAAATATTTAAGAGGTTGAACAAGAAAAATAGTATAAAATACTTAATAATCAGCCATTTACTGTTAGTCTTAAAAACAAAACTCTAAGATACCATTTTAAACCCTTAATTCTTTAGTAAGAAAGACGTTTTCGGCAACTGCGTAAAAGTTCACTCAAATCTCTGAAAACAAGTCGATCCGTTCATTTCCAAAGCAGCTAAAACGAACTCAGGACTTCACTGGCACCAAATCCTGGTGGGAACAGAAGCAGACTGTTCTGTACCAGGCAGATGCACGACTCCGGGCGAAAAGATTATAAACCCATCCCCTCTACAAGGGGCAAGGACATGAAACCATGTCACATTGCAAGAAGTTACCTCCTCTTTCAAGTCTTTCTCCCTCTGTCAATAGCACTGGCCAAAAGCTGGTGATGACAAAGGCTCCTGAGGAATCCAGTTGTGCTTAAGGGAATTTGGATTCTAACCTTTCAACCAGTTTTCTTATCCTCATGATGACTATGCCCAGTCCATATCGGATTACCCGGAGCAAACAATGCAAATTATCACTGACTGGCTAACTAACAACTGCTCTAGTTCTGCAGGTCATGTCTCTCTGACCCATGACAGGGCCCCCGATGCCCTCAGGTGCTTCAAAAGTTACAGTCAGAAATGTTTTTCCCTGGATCAAAACCATGAATTTGTTATAAGACAGCAGTACTACCTCACCTACTCCAAACAGGCCAAGGAATATGACTCTTTTTTACTGACTTCTTACTTTCTAGTCTTTACAGGTCTGAACTTTTGAAATACATAAAAACAGAGGTATAGTCTAAACCTTCCCTCTTATGCATAAACTTTACAAAAAAAATTTCACTGTAAAATTTACTAGGAATACAGATATTAGTTTGTTGTAATACAATCCCTTGCAAAAGCAATCAAAGATTTCCTGCAATCTCTCAAGCACTGTAGAGGCTAGTTAGGTTGTACAAAAAAAGTACATCGGCCTATATGTGAACAGAGTACTAAGTGAAATTTCTAGATTTCTATTATAATAAAGCAAATCACAACTTTAATAATACCCTTCATTAATAATTATTCAGAATGAGAGCACATAACTATCTAAAAGGTAAAAATACTATCTGAAGTTTTATTCTCTGCCTAAAGTATGAGAACACCTAGCTGATACTGAATGTTAAATATCTATTTTTGGACTCTCCAAACCTAACCAGTGAGAAGCATCCTCCTGCCCCCCAGGTGCCCTCTTTTAAAACCGTAACCAGGCAACCCTGATGCCCTTTGAAGAGAAGCCACTTGCAAAGGGACTCTGCATCTTATTCACAGGGCTCCCAAGAGCAACCCCCTCCCCCCAGACGGCTACAAGCTGGATACCACTGTCTCAACTGCAGCACAAGTGACACACAGGTCAGATCATGCTGTCGTGGGGCTGTCCACGGGATTAAAGGATGTTTAGCAGCATCAGTGACCTCCACCCACCAGGTACCAGTGTCACCACCACCCTAGTTGTGCCAAGCAAAGTCTCCAGACGTGGCCAGATGTCTCTGGAAGGGGGGGGGGGGGGATGCTCCCCAGGTTAAGAACCACTGAGCTAGACCAATATAACATGGGTTACTAAAGACATATGGGGCTCTGCAGTTTTTACATTTATTATAAAATTTTAAAGTATTTGAATAACACTAATAAAACAATTCTAAAAATGGAGAAATGGAATAATTAAATGTACCTCCAAGTTCCTTTCTGTGAACACTGACAGACTTAGTTTATGATAGCAATGCCTCTATCGTGAATTTAATAATCATCCAGTCGTGGAACTGAGATGATCTGACACATGAAATGATTTTCTCCATTTTCATCAGAACATCTAACCCTTGAGCACTCCCCTCAGGACGGCAGACCGGAGGTGAAGGAGCTGTTGAAATCACCTATCCTACCTGCTGTCCTGCAAGAGGAACCATAGGCCAGGACGCCACAGAGACTACTCAGTCTGCGACAAAACAGAAATGGAACCTGCGTGTCCTGACTCACACTGAGGTATGCTGGTGTCACTCACAAGGTCAAATATTGCAAAAACAAGTGTTAGAACCTACTCCATTTCCTTAAACCAGTACATTTCCCCCCTGACACTTGGTTTCTGTTCTGTATGTAATCAAATTAAAATAAAAAACAAACCTATAACCAAAAGTAACCTGAATGACGACTTTTACAAAGGGGAGGGACTTGCTGGTTCTGTCTGTAGCTGGTGCGGCAGAGCCCACCGGGAGCCTGGCAAGCACACGTGTGCACTTACCACCAGATTCCTGGAGGGTCCTACATAGAGGCTACTGCCAGCTGCGTGCTCCACTTGCTCTAGACAAGACAGACAGAGGAGAGAAACACAAGGAAAGTGAAATGGAAACAATGACAAAGAACATAATGAAGCAAGGACAAAACCATATGCTTATATATAAAGGAAAAGAAATATACACACACAGATGAAGAAAATGAAATGAAACAGAAGGAAACAGTTGTCTACTGCATCAAGGTTCTCACCAAAAAAATAAATAATGATAATCACTGTGTTGGGAGTTGGAGACAGAACGTGGCACCCTCACTCTCGAGCCTGAACCATGCCCACGCTGTAAAACGGATGCTCTTACCACTTAAGCACCACTCTGCTCAAGACCAGAAGGCCCCAACCATGATTCTTTTTTACAGACTCCAAGGACCAAAGACATGAAGTCATCTGCTCAGGTCCACACAACTAAATTAGCTCTAGAGTCAGAATTAAAACTCAAGAATGATGATGCTAAAAGTGTTCCTTTTGCTACATTTATTTTTTTTAACTTTTTTTTTTCTTTATTAATTTTAGAGAGACGAGGAAGAGGGAGAGGGAGAGAGAGATAGAAACATCAATGAGAAAGAACATCGACTGGCTGCCTCCTGCATATCCCCCACATCGACTGGCTGCCTCCTGCATGACCCCCACTGGGGATATGACCCACAACCTGGGCATGTGCCCTGACCTGAAATTGAACCAGCAACCTCTTCTTGGTGCCTGGGTCGACGCTCAACCACTGAGCCACACCTGCCCGAGGGGCTACATTTATTTCTTAAGACCAAAAATGCATAATGAGGCTACCTAATTCTTTAGAAAGCACTTTATAACCATTATTTCACTCAGTGTCAAGGGCAAATGAAAGTGGTATAAAGATTTACACTGGACTTATAGAAAAAAAACACTGGAATTGGAATGCATATTTTTTTCCCATTTCAATTTTATCTTACAGAAACAAGTATCAGTCAACAGCACAGAACCCCAATCTGAGCAAATACGATTCACCATTAAAGAACACCAATAAAACTGGACTTTCTAGTGAAATGGCTGCCACAATGATGGCTTTTACAGACAATGTGAAGCATTATACTGCTGGCGCTTGGATGCCAGGTGCAAACCAAAATTGCCTAAAGTGTCACATGAGTAAGTTCTGGACTATGCTGTACTCTTCCAATAAAGTGAACAAACACTAGGAAATTCTAGAGAATAATGTTTCACTTAAAAAATGTGCAGGCATCAGAGAGAATGCAAAATTCCAGAAGGCTGGCTCAAGTTACACTAAAAATCCATCCCAACAGTGAAGGTCCATGCATTCGATGGTTTAGAGGAATTACATTTAGAAATGTAACTACGTGCACTGCCTCTTCACTGGAGAGCTACCCAACTCTGAAGTATAAAATCAGAATTCAGTATCAACAGATCTATCTGATCTTTGGAGAGCTCACCATCTCCCTCAGATGCACAGCTGATTCCA